GGATTGTTAAAAGCCGACAAAAGCAAACGGCCTTGGATCAGTTCTTGACAAAACACCAGGCAAAAATCACTTCTGAGAGAGAACGTGAACTATAGAGGGCAAAAAAACGTTGAGGGCACAGTTCAAAGTTAAATGACCATCATTTTTATTCTTTTCTCTATTGTTTGCTTTTTACATTATGCACAACTCTCATTTAATGTGCCATCATCTAATTGTAACATGTATTTGTTACATATTTTGATGCATTTTGATGCTTTAGAAAACATTTATGTCTGAATTTTGCGGGGGCTTGGAACGGATTAGGGCATTTACATGGAAAACGTGTCTCTACTGACAAAATTTTCTAGTGAAGAAATTTCTTCCACAACCAATTCATTTTGTAAGTAGAGGTACCACTGTATCTGCATTAACTGTAAAATAAGGGTATGCTTGTTCGCTGCTGATTTCATATGAAATAATGATCAGCATGCTAGCTCCAAACTTACTTTAAGGACGAGCACAATGTTTAGGCTCGTTAACCAAAATGCGAATGTTATTCTCTTTTTTCACTCCTGCTGAAGTTAGCAGCAATGGCTCGCTAAATGCTCCTTGTTGCAGCATTTGCACCAGGCTGTTGCTTTTTGCTTTGAATGATTGGACTAGAACAAGCCAGCTTTACAGGAACAATGTTAATTCTCAACTATCTTGATTGTCAGGCGATACCTTGGATGACTTCTGCAGCAAAGGTTTCTTTATGTGCCCGATTTCCTTGTGTCACTTTAACACAGTGGCTGTAACCTTCAAAGACGCATCACACACCCTTCTGTTTAAAATGTCCTTTCTCCATAATGAAATGCAGGTAGTGGAAACCCATGTTGAAAGCTTGTCAGACTTAGTAACTAAGGGTATGTCGTTCCCCACATGCCACAACTTGTGGAACGGTGGGCTTGTCTGTGGGCACTTTTCTGTTACTTTGAGGAGCCAGTCTGATAAGTGTAAGGAAAAACATCAGGGGTCATTGGAAATGGCTGCCGTCATCGCCGTTGCTAGAGGCAACGCAACTTTCTTATTAAAAACTACGACGAAAATGACTTTTTTTTCCCCAGTCAGCTCCTTTGACCTAAATTGTCGCTACATGCACTCGACAGCTTTCAAAGTCATGCTAGATGCTTCTAATTTTTTTGTGCTGCAAGCGAGCGAGCAGAACAACCCAAGCATATTTACATGGTAAGCAGATTAAACTGGCAGCTGAATGAGAATGTCAACTACCGTCTGAAACAAAACCATGCGGCGCATTCAGTGTCGGGAAACGCTCCGAGTCGACTGATCATCATCGCCGCTCGCAGGCGAGTTCAAATTTTTTGCTTTCCAGATGAAAGTGTCATTTACTCTTAAAGCCTCAGTGAAGCCAACCACTGAAGTGCTACTTCACAAGGCCATTTGGCACTGATGCGGTCTGCATATTAACAACTCACAGGTGCATCATGGGATATTTCCCGTCCACAGTGTCAACAAACATTTTTTTTAAACAGGCATAAACATAATTGGTGAGGAAAGGAGTAAATGGAGCCCAAGCTGAGCTAATGTATCTCAGCCATTAGTGACCTCAGGCCCCCTAAAAAATGACAGATGGGACAGAATCTCTCTTCAATCAATAATGAATGTACAGTCTCCAGTTTTGTTTGAAAGGCAACATCCATATATCATTTTTCCATAGCGCTTATCTCGACTGGCTTTGGGCAAGAGGTAGGTTACATTCACCCTGGACTGGTCGCTGAGTTCATTGCAGAGAACTTGTAGACAGACAGCTACGCTCATATTGACGCCTCCAGACAATTTAGAGTCCTCAATGAACCTAACATGGACATTTTTACAATGTGGGAAGAGTAAACCTAGGCAAGCAAGGGAAGAACATGCAAACTGCACACAGGAAGGACGGAGTCAAGATACAAGCCCCAAACCTCACAAGTGCTAACCATCAAGCCAGCTGTTTGTTTCTAATTAAGGAAGCCGAGCCCAACGTGTGGGAAAAGACCTTTAACGCAGGCAGCAGTTCGTACGCTTTACTGTATGCATGTGGTGCATCACCCCATTGTAAAACACAAATGTCCCAAATTTTTGCAACCTCACTGAGGAATCAAGTGAATCCTACTTGGCAGAAGTTAAAGCAGCACAAATCCACGCCTGGTGTATTTAGCACTTAATGGTGTGGACAGGCGCTGCAGAAACCTAAACTACATGTATATCCACTTAAAAAGTCAATTTTCAATGTCACCCTTTATTTTTTCTACCATTTATATTGGAAAAGCATTGAACTACTTAAGATCGGGCTTTGTCTTTTGGTCTTGGGGCAACTGTTCAAGAGGGTCTCATCTCTGAATCGATGAGATTTCAACTCAATGCTGTCACCGATGTATTTATTCTTAAGACAAGAACTGCAGTCCAACCACTGACATGTATTGAGTCATATACTTTTCCCCGAAGCCAAAACCATCACGGATTCCCACATTTCCGCAATTTGGCACTGAAGGTACACATTTAGGTCACAGATTCTGTCATATTTCTCAAAAGCAACCAAACTGCTGCTTTGCTACTTTAAGATATTTTCCGAGTGACAGCAAAATGTTTGTTGTTTGCCAACTATAAATTCCTTATTTTTTTAAACCATGTGGTGGATTTATGGGTAGACGTTGCTCTCTAATTTACCTTATGTCATCATCACCTATCAGACAATTTCCTGTATTATTTCTACCATTGTCTCGCATTTCATCGATTTCTAGATATGTAGTTTTAAAAGTCCGAACCAGGTCTTGACCTCAAACCAGGGCTGAGCAGTTCCAGTCCTGGAGGGCCGCGATCCTGCATGTTTCCCGTCTCTCCCTGTTGCAACACACCTGATTCAAATGAACAGGTTCAATATCAGGCTTCCACAGCTCTTGATGATGATCTGATGATTGTTAAAATCATGGCCTTCACTTTGTCTCTTTTCAAAGTCTTTGTCTTGGTCTCACATTGCATCACCATTGGACAAAAATGTGTCTCATCCCATCAAAATGTTGCACTTAGCTTGGAAAGATCTCAAAGTCTTGGTCTTTGCTTGGTCACGTCTTCTTATAGTCTCTTATTTCTTTCAATGTTTTGGGGCTTGGTCTCAGATTGCCTTGGTCTTAGTCTTCACTTGCTCTCAAATTGCCTCAGTCTTGGCCTCATGCCCCAAATGTCGTGACTTGGAAAAGTTATCTTAAAATCTTGTTGACTCGGTCTCCCTTACTTTCACATTGCATCGGATTTAAATTGGTCTCCTCCCCTCAAAGACTCGAGCTTGACTTTGTCTCAATGCGTACTTCCTTTTTTTAGTTTTTTTTAGCAACTACATTGACGCTCAAAATGTTCTACTCTAAATCTTGCGTGTAATTCACTTTCAGTGGCTGAAGACAAGCATGTTTTGTTCTTAAATTCTGTAAGGAATCAAACACTCAACTGCGACAGCAGCGAATAAACTGCCACAAGTATTCATGCCAAATGGGGTAAGGAAAGCAGAAAAATGTTATTCCACCCAAAGAGAAGACAGCTCATGGGAAAAGTAGTGATCGTGCGCTACATTGCCATTTGAAGTGGGTGATATTTGGGAATTATTCCATTTTGATTCCGTTGTTTAACTCAGAACTGCCATTTAAGAGTGCGTGTTGCATTAGCAGACATACCATATGGGGGGCTATCACACATTCAAAGGACTCTATTATACCCATTTTTAGCTTTTCTTTATAGTGCAACCGCGCAGGGGACAGCGGTGCTCTGATTGTGGATGTGCTTATTACTTTACATAATTTCAATGTGCTGGTTTTAAAGGGGTTAAACGGGTGCAATTAATGGAAAAGAAAACAAAAGTTATCCATGCAGACAATGCCGCAAGTGTCTTGACTTCAATGAGGCTCTGGCTCTCGTCCACACAGTCACATTAATGAGGCGTTGACCTTCCCGTAGCGCCCGCAGCCAGTAAGAATAGGTGCTTGGCTTTTCCATTAAATCAATGATTCATCAGCGGGTTTTGGTCGCATGGCGCCAAACGAAATCTGCTTGACGTGACGGGGTCAATCAACATCAAAATTACATTTACCCTGAAAGGCATTGATGCCTTCTAATTTGGTGACGGTGTGGTGAGACGGCAAGAAATTATGAGACAATGCGTGATAATAAAAGAGACAGAAACACATGCTGTGTGAGGCGATCAGCCTTATTGATTTCGAAAATCGGGCTGAATTTATATATATAAATCATTGCTGCCATATCTGACATTACTGTGTGGCGCTATGGGATAATACTTGCAAAACAAATGCTCGGTCTATATATTTTTTCTTTGATTTTGATGTCTTTCATGTTGTGTTAATCTGTTCAATTAGTCCAATAAAGCTTCATAAAGCCAAAGAAGAAGCAAAAGAAAGCATCATTTTCTGCTCGCTTAACTGTGGCATCAGGAGATACTGTGAGGTGTTGCGCGATATGCTGATGTATTATGTGATGTCATCCATGGAAGCAGTCCATCTGCCCCCCCCCCCACCAGAAAAAAAATCTCCCAAATGTGAAAGAAAAAGCAAAATATGTATAAAACAATTAACTATTCCTTTTTGTGATCAACCGAGTTAATCGAGGCTTCGCTTCCTTTTTTGGAGACATGCAGACAGCGAATGTGGCACATTAGCTCAAGTATTAATTGAGTAATTAGTGTAACAAGAATGTCAGCGCTAAATGGAAATGACTCTCGACAAAATTACGTTTCATTTACTGAATTAGTTTTTGAGGTCATGCACATCTCGTCTATCTTAACCCTCTTATCAATATTTACAATGTTACTGTAATGGCGTTTTGCACAAAAGTTTATGGACAAGACGCGAGGCTCTTCTCAGCACATAAATATTCATATTTCATTATTTGATATGGTTCATATCATTTTAAATTCATAGCTTGGGATAATTTCAGTGTCTGCATTAACTGTGTCCCCCCCGCTCCCCGTCTCGTGCCAGACGCCATGCTGCTCGTGGCTCTGCGACTGGAGGGACCTTTCAACATCGAATCCGTCATGGACCCCATTGACGTCAAGATCTCGGATGCCATCATGAATATGCAAGACAACAGCGCCCAGGTCTCCTATAAGGTATTCTACGTCTTGTCGCCTACGCTGTGGCAGTACACCAGCCTCGGGTGTATAATTCGACACAATATCAGTTTAGGCGCCGTGCGTCAATTACATGTCTGAGTCTGGTTCGTTTTCACGAAAACGAGACTTAGAAAAATGGAACATAAAAGTGACTCATTTCGACCTTTCTCAGAATTGTATTCCAACAGATATGGAAATCACAATATGCTAAAGTGTTTGTCTACACTACAGCATGACATTAAAACCACGTAACACCCCCCCCCCCACACACACACACACACATACATTGAGTTGAGAGACTTGTCAAGGAGAGGAGAAGTAATGGCTACTGACAAAAGTATTTTGTTCACATTTGCGTTTTTTTTAATCCTACACACACACATTCACACACACACACACACACACACACACACACACACACACACACACACACACACACACACACAGAACAAAAACAAAACAGATGGATCTATACAAAATGTTTGAGCTTTTGAGAAGTTTCATGCACAGACGACAAAGCTGTCAAAATGATCCGCAGTGACACAGAACTGCAGAAATTCGAGAAACCATTGAACGACGGCAGAAAGGTGGTCGCATTGCACGTACGCCGAAGCTCATTATCTTGAGGCGCGCGCACAACTACAGCCCTGTGCTTCATCTTTTTGCGAAGTCGTGCGTGTCCTTCAGTCTTCACAAGAGAACGATAACAATGAATGTTTCAAAATGGTGATGTTTTCACTTACAAAAAAATGCAGATGAGGGGCCAAAGTGACACCATTTTTGTCAACAGGCTTGTCTTCGTGTATATTAACACCAGAATGTTCGAAGTTTCATTTTGCTTTCTTTGCTAAAGAAAAAATATAAATGAATTGAAAACAAAAAATGAAATGTTTTTAAAGTTAAAAAAAAAAGCATCACTTTTGGTCACGATCAATGCACAGTTCACGAAGGAAGCATGATAGAGTTCATTATTTTGAAGGGCACACATTCAATTACTGGATTTCCACATCCACACGCATGCCTCCTCCGTGGTGTGTCTTTCAGTGTTGACAAATGAACGATGAAGCAGACAATTTCAAACTTCCCAAAAGTTTGTTGTACCCCCATCGGGTCTCCGTCACTGATAAATCCGTCGAAAGGTTCTTATTTCTGTCACAAGTTGATCATATATGCAAAATCAGAGTTAAATTCATGACGCATGCCTACCAGCCAATTTTGAGTGTTGTATGTTCATGAATTACAATTCCTTCGAAATGGTGGCGGTTGGCCGCGACCTTACAATCTGCATAAGACTGATTTTTTTGTGGAGGGGACATGCTACGATATGGAACACAACCGAAGATCATCATTGCATTGAATAGAAACTTATAGAATAGAAACTGCAGGGATCCCATTAATCACAACAACTACTTTTCCTAGAATGCTGACATGTATTTTTTATTATTTGCTGTTGTTTGTTTCAATGCCCGTCTATCGAAAAAGGATGGCGACCACCAAACATAAAAGTCGACCACAATGAATCTTCAGTTGTCAAAACCTTAGTTTACGTTTGCGGGTGAAGGATTTTCTTGGAATTTCGCAGTCAGAGAATATAAAACAGACACAATATGTTTTTGTTTTTGAAAAGGTTGACAAGCAGTTTCCAGTTGCGCGAAAGAAAAATTCCACTGACGTGAAAACAGGGAGTGAAAACACCACAATTTGTAATTGTTTTTATGTCAACTTGTCTCATGAAATCTATTTACAAAAGCTTGGGGTGTGTTGACACGAGAACAATCAACAGTAATTGAGTCAAATCAGGGGGTTTTTGTTTTTCCGCTTTGTTTTTCAGTTCCAGATGACAGCGTTGTAACACAGAGAGCTGCATCAGCAGCCAGTTATTTTTCTTATTCACAGTAAATGTACACCGATTACCGTCATTGTCTTGAGCGGCACAAGCGAAAAAAAAAAAGAAAAAAAAAACAACAAAAAAAAAACCCCGCCTTGTGCTCTTCCATTCTTGAATGATTGTGATGCACTTGCACATGAGGACATCCTGCATTTTGGAAACGATCATTCTTTCAGTGTGCGGTAGTGTCCAGTGTCCCTGTGTAATCAATGAGCCCTTATTATCTTGCCAAAATACCTTCTAGCCCAAAAACACATCCACAGTGGATTCAGAACATGAAACATGGTGTGAATAGAAATTGTAAGATGTTCTGAGGCATTATTAAGAGAAAACAGTGATGTTTGCTTTGTGATCAGGCAAAACAAATTCTTTTATTAAGAATTGGATTCAAATTAATGTGGAAGGGATTTCATAAGAGCTCAATGATTCAACAAAACATGGCAATAAATAATATCATGAGATCCCTATTCAGTTATCGTCATCATCAAAAAATTTCACAAATTCTGCCACTTGTATGGAAACCCATGAGCCCAACTGTCTCAAGTATTGCCTTTCGGCTGCGCTGTTTCAAGCTCCACTGATGTCCACCAAGCTTCATTTAAGGCCGGGGTGTCAAACTCATTTTTGTCGTGGGCCACATTGTAGTTAGCGTTTCCCTTGGAGGACCGTTATGAATGTGAATTTTTTGAAACCATATACATGTTTGACCACCTCCACAAATTACATACACAGTGAACGACAAATAGATGGATAACTAGTTTTGACATCAGAAGTCAAGAATAATGCTTTGTTATGACATTACATATGAGAATTTGAGATTTTGGTCTAGATTTTAGCCAGCATCATGGAAGTTGACGTATTTGATTCACTTTCGCGGGCCACATTAAATGATGTAGCGGGCCAGATCTGGCCCCCGGGCCTTGACTTTGATAGCGGTGATTTAAGGGATGCTACACAGGATCTCAGTTGGGTTGATTTCAGGAGATGGGGGACGACCACACCGAAAACTGTTCGACCTTTGTCCTTTAAATGAGGAAAATGATGGAATACCAAAGTGTCCTGCATTGAAACCAGTTTAGAGGAGAGTCGGTGGAGGCCAGCGATCACCAACCCCATCAGCAAAATCTGCAACGCGTGACAATGATGCTAATCATTTGAATCAGGTCTATTGGAAGAGGGAGACATCTCAAACATGCAGGATCGGGGGCCCTCGACGACCGGAGTTGGTGACCCCGAAACAGCCTGTAATGTTTCATATTTGCATTATTGGTAACATTCCTATAGTTCTTTGGCCTCTTGACATGTATTTGATATTGAACTTGGAAAATACCTGAAAAGTCAGATTTAGGCATTACATTACTTCAGTAAGAAATCAGTAGTTGATGTGATTTTTTTTTTTTTTTACCACCCACAAAAAAAAAAAAAAAAATGTGGAATGCTGGAAAGATATTTAGATTCCCACATGTTGTTGATGTCAGTTGGAATTCGAGTCTTCTGCAGGCTTTCCCCATACAACACATCCAGTGGCGCTACTGTATATGTGGTGTTTTTCCAAAAGCTGTAAAACTTAAATAACGTCAGTGGCAGCCCAGCTGAATTACCGTCAGCGTCAGCGTGGTTACCTCAGCATGCGGCCCATTATATACCAGAAGCGTGTGGTGTTCAACCAATGGCAAAGTCTCCGAGCAAACATCATGTTTTCCCTCATTCTCTCCTTCCCAAAAAGTCATTTCGGATCCTGACCGTCGGGTGCCCGTGTTTTTTGTAATTGCAGGCTTTTCAAGGTTGCGGTCAGCCAAAACCCGCAGGAATGACTAGGTCTGCCCGTGGCGTTCCGGATGTGTTCAACGCCCGCTTCAGGCCATACAACCCAGACGAGCGTCCCACCACGGCAGCTGGCACCAGCCTAGACAGACTGGTAAGGGCATCAAGCAACACTTGCTTTCCGCGACATAAACACCATTTGTCTTTCTTGCAAGCTGACGCCGTTGATTAAAGCCAGTGATTTGCTGAGCTCCCCCGCCGACGGCAATTCATTCCGCGGACTCTTCCCGCATCTATTGATCGCCGTTTGTTAACGAATCAACCACCCCCCTCCCCCCGGAGAGTGAGGTGTGCCGTGACGTGCCCTTCTCCTGCCTCTGTGTGCTTGGCAAACAGAACAGACAAGGCTGAAGGCTGTTTTCCGAGGGCTGACCACAGCCATTGTTTGCTGCAAAGCCAGCCCTTTATTTCATATCGGGTGGGCTGCGTGTTTGCGGGACTGGACGTTGATACGTGCATTTACCATCTCCCAACAACCTTGAGGCCTAAAATGCTGCGACCGCGGAAAAAGGTTAGCGTTGACAGCCAAATGAAGCTCAGGAACAGTTCTCATCATAGCGTGCATACTTGTGCAGCCGCAATGCCTTCCTTGCCTCTCCTTCACAAACCTGCGGCAAATGGTTGACATTGTTCAGAAATAAAAGTAAAAGTGGTTTATTCCGACCGACCGCTTTAGTCACTAGCCAATTTACCCACGCTACGAAAAATCCAGTCTCTTTATCCTTTGCCTTTTTCTTCCTCAATGTTTGCTTGTCTGATTCAATACCAATTAAGTTTTTCAGCTGTCCATTTGCCAGCTTTTGATGGGGTTTTTTTTCCATGCATCGTATTCATTTTGTCCTCCCATCAGCTCATTTATCCACCTACACAATTAATTAAGACTTTCTTTTTCTCCCCTCTTGTTTCTCTCTTCTGCAAACCAGAGGATTATTTGGAAAACCATGCAACACAGCGTAAGATTCAACATGTTTCTTCTTTTCTACTTGGGGGTGGGCATTTGAAAGACTACAGGCGTAAATGAAAGATCAATTCATTGTTATATATCCTGTATATTTTTTATTTCGACTATCTTGGGCTGACTGGTCATAACCTCTGTTTCGACGTAACCGCCTTCTATCCATCTATTTATATGCTTATAGCACTTGTCCTAATTAGGATTATGGGTGAACTTAATCCATCCGAGTTTACTTTGGGAGAAAGCTGGGGTACACCCTGGACTGGCTGCCAGAAAATCATAGGGCACATTTAAAAAAAAAAAAAGAACTGTTTACACTCACGTTAACTCATATGAATAATTTAGAGACTTCAACAGGGATCAGGGTAGGCAAGCGAGGCAGTGCTGACCCATGCTGTCCGTTCAGCTGCATATGAAGAGTTAAAAATAAAATAAAATTAGGCTTTCATAACATTAAATATCAAGGGAAGACCAAATGTTCTTGTTTTATTTTAAAGATGAGAGATCTGGGTGGGGGCGGGGGGGGGGGGGAATGACAAAAACAACCCACAGGAGTAGTATGCACGTCACTAGTCTTCAATTAAACTAACATGCATGTTGTTGAAATGTGGAGAACATGCAAACTTCACATGGGAAGAACCGAGCCATGATTGCTGCCTGCTAGTCACTTATTGAGCAGAATAATGGTCCAGGGTTACGTTGCTGTTAACGCCACGTCCCATAACTACGGTGCTTGAGTATGAACATAATGATAAAAATGAAAGCACGTTTCAAATAGTGAAACAGATAAAGTGTACATTTTATGAAAAAGGGTGATAGGAAGTGAACCAAAAATGAATGAGAACGTTTTATAATGTTAAGCTTATAAAGAGCATTTCTACTGGTCAAAAGGCTGAAATTTATCTTCCCCCTGTCATTTCAGGAATTTGAAATTCTTGGAACTGATAGTTCCTGGAACTGAAAGGTTCCAATCAGTCAATCAATTATGTTCGACGCTCCAAACCCCGATCTCAAAGTTTCCTGGACATGTCACACTCGTAGGGTCGATAAATTATCCGGAACTAAATTTAGCCAGGTGCAAACACTTTCCCAACACACAATGGTCCTCCCAAAAATTCCTTGTTCCGAAATAAACTTCCTGCTGAAGTTAGTTGAAGAAATGTGTGATAGTTTGTACATTTTCTTGCGTTAGTGTGCTTTTGCTATACCACTCAGTCATGTTGGTTTTCTTTAGATAGCAAACTAATGTGATTTTTGCCTCATTGGCTTTGACATTATCCCAAAATTTTATAACCGATCTATATAACAATGAATTGATCAGTTGTTATGACCATCACCACTACTTCTCCTTGTTTTACCGCTTCAAAACAGCAATTACTACATACGTAAATGTGTCAATATCCTTACTAATCTCTGTGATTAGCAGCATCTGTTGAGCACATAACATCAAATGGTTTGATGCAGAAGTTCATGCCACCGTGCCGCACAGCATCTGCCTTTAAACTTTGTTTTATTACAACAAAGTCATTAAGTCATCACAGATAGCTCGACCATATGCCAGCGTGTCCTCATGGTGGTGAAGGCCCCTCAACACACCTTCCTCAATTAACCTCTCTATTCTGGAAATATCCCCTGTCCGATGTTAGTTAATAGCACGGGCAACAAATCAGGAGGTGACCTGGTCTGACAGAGCGCTGCGGCCAGCATCTGCTCTAATGGTACAGCGACACGGGCCCGCAGCCAAGCGGGCATGCGGGGGCTGCTTTATGAATAATCAGCCGGGCATTCAGACAAGAAATTGCAGGAACAGACAGGGAATGTGTCATATACGTGAACTACGCCGCTGAAAATGCGGAAAATAGCACAGCCAAGGCTGCCAAGCTATAGGTGACACATCAGCCCATCGTGATTAAATCGGCCCTGTAATCCAGAGTATTATTGTATCATCATATCATGGGCAACAGTTATGCTCACGCCATCAAACATGACCTTCATCTTCGTAGTGAGTCATATTGTGAAAAATATTGAAGTTCGTTAATGATGCCGGAATTGTTTTGAATGTTGGCGGAGGTGTTTGAGGTCATATTTGAAATACCATGCACATCTGCTGTGAACTCACTCCGGTGGCTTACCTCCAGCTGCTCAATATTAAACAGTGAGACGTTACCGACACGAACAGCAAGGACGTTTATGCGAAGCGGGGATATACTTGAAACTGTCGCCAAAGTCAGAGAGTGGACAACTTTACGTAGATTTCTATTGTATTTTTTTCAAATCTGCACCAACAGCCGACCAACTTACCCCACTTACTACCGTACAGGACCTGTGCTCGTGGCACTCACTTTTGGTGGCAAGTGACTCAACTTACTTCACCAGATGCAGCAGTTTGACAGATATAATTATTAAGTATTCTTAAAAAAAAGCCTTCGAGTTTATTGCCACTCTCAGCTGAAGGTCACTGTCAAAAAAAAAACATAAATCTAAGAGAATTACACATTGTGTATGTAAAGTCACCACAGAGCTGCTCACTATGAGAAACTCCACAGGCTCACAGACTTACATTAGCATCAATGTGGTTTTGTCGTTACTCAGTAAGAAATGGATATTTGAACACAAAAAGTGTAGCAACACACATAGACCACATAAACATACTCATGGGAATATATTCTTTATCTGCTGTGAAGAACAACTGATATTACTGCCTTGCTGAGAAGCAATCCTTCCTCACCAGCTACCTCACCCATGTACCAATGTGAAATCCTACCTACCAGTTACTCCCAATGCACCTTATTCTACCAATTTACAAGACTGCCCATCTCCAATCTAAGAATTTACCCACCAGTTATTACAAAAGTAACCTTCCACCCAAATTTATGCTACCCATATTATCCTACACGAGTACTACCAAACTTACTTACCCAAACCATCGGCTATCACACACAACCAGACGAACCCTTACTTCCCTAAGAATTGATCTACAAACTGGTGATTTTGACTAATAAAAGTTTAAATTAAGGTGAAAACGGTCCATGTCGTGAAAGTAAACTGATCCGCGCGCTGGCCCCTAAAGCAGAAGAATGTAATTTTTTTTGAAAGGTGGTCTGCGCCTTTTTTTTTCCCTCTGTTTCCCTTTTCTATTAAAATACACCATATTTTATTCAGCGTGCGACTGCTCTGGTTGAAAGGTTTTCCCGGGACATTCTCTTTTCATGCGCAACATAAAAGGAAAGGAAAAGTTGAATCGCAGTGCCAGTTGTGACTCTTTGAAGAGAATCTGACATCCTGTTATTGTTTTGTGCGGCTTTGTCTCTGTTACAAATAGAATTACGTGTCACACAGTCCAGCAGCTGCTTTGCGCAATCATTAGTGGTGCAGAATTTTTACGTCTTCTGTTGCATCGGCGGTATAAATGGATTTCATGCATAGAGCGCATTTTTGTTTTCTCTCACGTTGTCCTCCTTTACATACCGATGCATCATAATTACCCAAAGTTTTATTTGCCCTTTGATAAGAATGTCTTATGTGGATCTACAGCCTTATGTTTGTTCGCGAAGGCATACTGAATGGATGTCAGGCAGGGGGCGGGAAGTTTGAGCAGCGGTGTCCACCTCCAGCTCAATGAGCCATGATGCTTTAATTGCCTGACATTCTGTCAGAGCAACACCCCCCACCTCCACACCTCCCCACATCACCCCCGAAGCCCAGCCAGAAATGGAGATCATGAAACTCCAAAGCTACGATAAAGGCACCGCAGACCGTTAAGTTCAGAGCCACATTATAGATAAGGAGAGAAGCATTTAATTTCGCAATGGTTACAAGTTTTAAAGGACTTTTGTGTCGTTTTGTACAATACACGGTCTGCCATTGTCTAAGCATATACGGCGGTGACATAAAAAGTCAATAGACGTCCGATTCTTTTTCTTAAATGAAAGAAATGATTTTATCATTTAAATAGTCTGCCCTCAATAAATTCAAACAACTTTCACAAAGGAGGTGTCACGAATTTGAAAAGCCGCTTGACTTCAAGTTCAAATTTCTAAACCGTTACAATGACGCCTGTGGGGGCAGGGGACCATGTGCCTAGACAAATGCTAAAACCTTTTTCATTTGTGGAGGCAGCGCTTCTGTGTGTACTTAGTACAAAAACACAAACACAAATACCCCCCCCCCCCCCACAGATCTCTTGAACAACTTACCACTTATCAGAAGCCGGCGCCATTGGCTAACATTAACCCATTCATGCACCCTGTAACCTGATAACATGATAAGCTGTCCACTGTAGTAACCGCTGTCCCTGCAAGTGGCAATCTGCGCATCCTACAAAACATACTGCAGCTCTGCTGACCTTTTTTTGACGAGTTTGCTGGGGTGCCGCACCTGTGGATGATATGGTGTTTGTACATCGCAGGACCTCTGCTTATGATGGTATTTTAGACCGTGTAGTCTGGTGTCCAATCTATCAGATCATGTAATGGGTGGAGAAACTCTGGGGGCAGTTATGATGTAAATTAGCCCTCGTCTTATCAGTGCAGCCAACATAAAAAAAAAAAATAATAAAAATAAGCGATTTGGCTGTTTTTTGTCACACTTTAGCACTCAAGAGAACAATTAGTTTACAAGCATATCATATCCAAAGTCAGATTAACAGTGGAAATAAGTAAACAAAGTAAAATAAAGGAAAACAGGAAGAGGAAACCAACATTTTATACAGTAGATCACTTGTGTCAAACTCAAGGCCCGCGGGCCATATCTGGCCCGCCGCATCATTTTATGCGGTCAACTTCCATGGCGCTTGCTAAAATGTGTACCAAAATTTCAAGTTGTCACATGTAATAAATAGGCATGTTGAGCTATTGCAAGCATTTTCTTCTTTTACATTATTACAGAAACTTAAACAACAGGGGAACAAACTACTCTCCTTGACTTTTGTTTCAAAATCTATTAATTGTGTACTTTATATGTAATAATACGAGAAGGTGATTCAACGTTTATACACTT